CCCCAAAACCCCAAAACCCCAAAACCCCATGTGGTGAAAATATCTATGTACTTAAAGCAGAAATACTTTTATATTTTTAACTTTATTCAAACTTTTTATTTAAAACTAAATCTTTCAGAAGCTTGATCAGTATAAATATTGCATAATCTATTTAGTTAACTTTATTGCATCAGTTTGATTGTTCATATTTTTAAATTATCTATATACTACATATATTGGCCTTATCCTCTTAAGTTAAATTATAGTATGATATTGAAGGGGTAAGATGAAAGACTAAAGATCATAATCCATATCTAGATGAGGATTTTATTATGATTTCTACTGATATTCAAGCTAAATATTGCATTAAACCTTACAGAGAAATATTTTAAATTTAATACATTCAATAGTGAGAAATTATGTTTTCTACCTACTCGTGAGTCAGTTTAAGTACACCACACTTAACCTCTAAATCAAGAATAGACCATCATAATAAATAATGATATTTAGAAGAATGCATCTTGATATAAAATTATTGAAAAAGACAAGATCATCTGACATTTATAAAGCCTTCATTCATTAGTTCTCTCTTCTCGTTGGCATCGTTCTGGAACTAAGCATCAAATTTTTGATACTTCTATATAATTCCATTAACCCTACTCTATATTTTCTATTTCCCTATTTATATATATATATTAGGGATAAGTCAAAGGTACACAAAGAAAAGTCCTACACTTAAAAAGTTAATTCAAAAGGATGTGTTTGAAAAACTTTGAAATGAGTCTTTATTAATATAACAATTTATCTTTTCATTCATCAAAATCTTGTTCTAATAAATAAAAAAGTTGAACATAACGAAAATTCCATCATATTAGAGTTTGACTTGATTTATATGCTTGAAAATATAATTGTATATATCTTGAGTCAATAGGCTCCAATCAAGTAGATTAAAAACGAAATTAAACTAATGCTCGATAAAGATGACTTGTATTCCTATTCTAAAGAAAAGTAGATGGCTTCTTTACAAACTTTTAAACAATTAAAAAATATTAATTAATTTAGAGCTCAAGATAAAATAATATTTTGAGACTTGATTTAAATATTGAACATCTCCAGTTTATCTATAGCATCTTTTCTTAATTCAATATTTTCAAGTAGCTTTTGCTTATCATTTTATTTATCAGTCATATCCAAAACTAAGGAAGACCAGCATTCCCAATCCTAAACATTTGAATCAAGAAATAAATTAATGAATTTGACACATCTTAGCTATTCTGATGTCAATTCTTATTTTTAACCATTAAGAAAAAATGAGATCACTCTTTTCATTATTTGAATAAACTATTCTTTGGAATAAACACTACAACCAATTAACTATAACCTTAGCATGTTTTAAGCAATACTAGCATCAATTTTATTTATATAACTTTCAAAAACATTTGTTACTAGTCTTATTTAATAATTACATGGAATTTCGTATTCAGGCTTTCTAACAGTTACTCAAAATTTCCTCAAATTTGTTAAAGTTCTAATATCTTGATATTAATAACCAACTAACAAGCAGTCTTCTCCATATCCTCTTTAAAGATAGCTTAATGGATTATGAGGGCAAGGCATAATATAAGGTCCAAATTTAATTGTTGATTAAGGCAAACTTAGTTAATCAGGTGTAAAATAAAAGTTAGGATAAATATATTCATATTCCCCAGGCATTCTGTATAAATTTTCTTTTAATACATAAGGGTTGATATCAATTAAAGGCCATTTCCATAGCCAGATTCCATGAGTTTATTGGTAATCTACATTAGTTTATTATCCATCTTGATTATATATTCTATAATTTGGAAGATGAAACTTGCTTTCTTTATTTTACTATAAATATGGGCCTTCTTAATAATAAATTGAATATACTCCATCGAAATAAGAGAGTTCTAATCCATACTTCGGTAGGTGTTTTGCTAACTCTTCAAGTTTATACTGATCTTCTTATCTCATAGCAATATCTATATCTGTATCCCAAGGGATCATTCCCTAATTTCTAACTGCCCCTAGAAGAGCACCTCCCTCAAGCCAAAATGGAATATTGTTATCATTGAAAATTTCTCTTACTTTATTCAGCAACGTATAGTACTATAATATAATTTCTGGATTGGTGAAATATAGATCAGCATCACTTTTTGGGAGACCTTAAATAATTTTTTTTACAACCTGAATCTGCTCATCAGATGTATTTGTTAAATGTACATATCCATAACCCATATCCTCAGCAATTTCACTTAAGTTTTAAGGCGCATTATTAATGACAAAGACATAATTATCTAAAAGCATTTCTAGCTCACTGAAATGCCTAAGATAGGAAGTACTTATAGTTTTTGCATCAATCAATGAGCATTCTATTTACTACCATAAAATCTTAAAATCCTAAATATGATCAAGAGTGATTAGAAGTCTTGGAGCAACAGCAATAGATTAATTAAAATTTTCCATTTTATAAATTATATAATAATTTAATATGAAATTTCTTAGAGAAAATGAAAGTTTTTTGTATTTATCGGTGGCTGTTATTGTACAATCTATAAATGGAATGAGTTTTGATTCATTCTTCCCTCTGTTTATTGAACAAAATCATAAGGCGATAACATAGGTTTAAATAGGAGTTATATTATCAACAAAGAGCATTGCAGGTTTATTAAGTTAGCCATTAACTAGCAATTTCTTAAAAAAACTTGGCAAAAAGAATTCAATACTTCTTGCATTTCTCTTAAGAGTAATATGTAACATATTATATCTTGCTGGAATAAAGCTAAAACACTATGAATACTTTTTTAGCGCGATATTATTGATTAGAATCATAGAAGGAGCATCTTATAGTTATATGTCAACAACTGTCTATTCAGCAATAGCCTTACTTTATCAAGATGAAAGAGATAAGTATATCGGTTATATTGAAACAATGTATGGAATTGGTTATATAATAGGCCCATTTATTGCCAGTTTTCTATATTCTTCAATGGGTATAAAAGGAATTTTTGTTTTCTTTGTTGTTTTTCAAATTTTAATGGTGCCATTCTTTCATTTTGGAATGCCTAGATTTGAATCTGAAGACAAATAAATATTGAATGACAATCATCAAAGGACATTACCAATAGATTTCAGATTATTTTTCAAATCTATCTACATACCTATAATTATTTCAGCAGCTTGCTTCAGTTATATCTTTACAGATTATTATACTGTTTTTTTGGCAAAATATTTATATTTTGAATTGGGTTATAATGAATATGAGATTGGAATATTTTTTGTGCTACCTTGTGTGACCTACATAATTAGCAGTGTAACAATTAATAAAATCCTCGCTCATATTACAAGGTGATAAGTAATGGCACTAGGATTTTGTTTAGGAGGACTAGCTTCCTTCCTCTTAGGCCCATCCAAATTTTTTCACATTCCATCTAATTCATATATCATTGGAATATCCTTGCTGGTAATGGGATTTAGTGGACCTCTTACCTTCGTGCCTTGTATTCCTGAAGTAATGGATAAGATGGAGAAAATATTAATCAATTTCTAATACGATAAGAATCTTTTGGCAGATAAATCATCAGCTCTATATGTTGCTAGTTATTCATTTGGATTAATTATATCACCAATCCTTGCTGGATATCTTGCAGATTAATATGGTATCAACATTGCATGTGGGCTTCTTGGAGCTGGATCTTTTGCATTTGCTTTACTTTTGATCTTAGTATCAACTAAAACTCATTATTAAAATTACCTCTAGCTTGAAAATTTAAGCCATTAATAAGATATACAACCAAAAAACAATCTACAAGGTAATTGAATATCTTAGATGTAAGTTCATAATAACTCTAAGTATAGACGATTAAAGAATTCCATCTGTATAGATTCAACTAATTTAAATAAATGGGAGTAATCATTTTTAAAGCTATTATCCTAATAATTTTTCTAAAATCTTTCTCAATATTACTTAGAAATTCTTTATGGGGTTTTGGGGTTTTGGGGTTTTGGGG